ACGGGACTGTTATGAAGTTGAAGTGGTCGTAACGTTGACAACGCATAAGCTCTGAGAGTCACGCTTGGCTGACTAGCTATCACTTTAGCCAACATAAAATGAATATCAGAAACTAAAAACAACAGACATTTTAAGGAAACAGTAAAGAAAACTAATCGTCTAAAAATAGCCTCACCCACTTGAACCCCGTGAAACTTCGCCCACTTTTATAATGAACGATTCCATTTAGCGAAATGTTTGTGGTTTGGACTATACTAGTTCATTTCAGCATACTCTTACCATCCAACCAATGATTCAAAATTCACATTAGCAACGAATCTCATGCCAAATCACAATAACTTTAACTCATTTTTGAACTGTTCGAAATCTGATGCCAAAACATTCCAACATACGCGCGTTTCTAGTGGTTTCCATTGATTTCTGAGCTGCGTAATGTCTGATAAGATTTTAGGTCAGTCCAATGAGAGATTTGGTTTGCGAATGTAACACGTTCATGTGCTTTGTACTTCAATGCACTATCCTGTTTCAACGCTAATCATTTTTTGAAATAACCCGTCTAACAAGATTTTTGGCTTTAATTATCACACCATTGCCCTTTCATAAACTTTCACACGCTCATTTCGTTCCCGATCGCTTCTTGCGATCCTTAGTGGGCAATGCTCCATACATTACTGGTCTGTCTGAAGTGTCGATCATGCGTGAAGTTCCTTCAGGTCCAAGCTTCACATCCATAAGTGAGTAACCGTTACACTTTGGCCGAATTACGGAAAACGAAATAGCCAGCACGAAATACATGCTAAAACTGTAACCATTGAAGTAAATCCTTTATTACGGTATGTCCAGGAAGTCGTCAACGAGATGATAATTTACGAACGTATGCAGCAGTTAACGAATTATACTGCCTCCGATTATGATCTTTCGCCGCAGTAAAGTATGTGGAGACGAATCTCCGGATGTCGACGTACCAAACTGTCAATAACATCTCTGATCCTGTGTCAGCCTTTGAGCTTCGGCAGAAAATAACTCCAGTCTAATAGAGAGTTATCAGATACACTAGGTCCAGATTATTATCTGCCGTTCCCCGAGTTTACTGCCGGCCGGTTGGGAAAGTAGCACTTGTTTCGCTTTTCTTTCTGAAAGAATTCCTAAGACGCCGAAATCATCGAATCCGTGATTTCTTAAACTGAAGAAGCAATGGTAATATATCAAGGCTTTCACGGATATATGTACTCTGGGCAATGTCAGGAGCCCAGTAATTCGTCTCAAAAAGTCCTTTTCAGACGCTTGATCTCGGAATCGAAGTTTTTCAGGTAAGGCTTAAGACTCATGACGGTAAGCGGATCGGGATCAAGATCGACATGAATCCAGAGAGCTTAGCCATTAAAATCAGCTCTTCCGTAGTCATAACAACTCGGGCTAGTTATCGCAATGGGCTGCTGGCCATTCCTTAATTCGCCTGTAGATCCGTTTCTCTCATTCTCCATGACCATTAATGACGACCCCGAGGCACATCAGCTTTTTCATCTATTCAGCTGTTTAACCGTTTATCTGC